TCTGGACATGTTGTACTGAAACCATTTCCAGTCAGAATGATTTGTGAGCCTGCAGTGCCTCGCGTTGGTGTAATTGAAGTCAAGGTTGCAGTTTGTTGAAATACGAAGGAGCAGTTTCTATGGGAACAGCTTGAAGGAATTCCATTCACCATTACTGTTACCTATAAATACACAAAGATTGTTTAAGATGGATTTTTTAAAACGAAAGATTAGRAGAAAAGTGGCGGTCAGTATAGTTACCTGTGGGYGAGTTTCTGCTACTCGTAACATGTCYCCTGGGATCGGGCTTAGAAACATACCACCATCATCAATCGTCTCTACTATGGCTGTTACATCATTTCCTCTTAACTTGTTTCCATTTATATGTATTTGTGGCTTGTTCCCGCCAGATGAAGTCCATTCTATTGTCCACYCATAGCCAGCACAGGAACCTTGTCGACTTACASCAACTTGACCAATGGACAGACTATCTTGTAGTAATGATTTAAGATTCACAGCAGAAATGCTTGATGAAAGCCCTGGTAAAGAGGCAATGGCTTGAGTGTGATCTTTCAAATGCATTCATATATGAGTAATATTGGGAAAAGTAATCTAATGCTACAGAAATTTGAGGAAGTATGGTGAAAGTTAAGGTTAAGTCAGGCGGATCCATGTGGTGTTGAAACTGGCAATGAGATTGCTTCAAATTCTCATTTCTCTTGTTCCCATAAGGAGGGCCGAAACCCCAACAAACCCCGCCCCTGCAAGTGCTATACGCTAGTAATGGTACCTGACAGCTTTCGTCCTTCGAACGTGACTTCAAAAGTCCCATTGATTGGCGGTGTAGCCTTTTTATCACGTCTAACAGTTACCATGGAACCGCTGGTTTGATTGACAGGTTGGTAAGTCGTGATGTCACTGGAAGTATTACTATCGACACGCAGAGCATCAGCAATTGCGATCTTCTCTATATTAGTGCCACAGYGTGCTGGTGTGAGAGAAATGGMCCATACCGCTGACTGTATYTTCTTGACGTCAAACGATTTTATCACGTGACCACCTGGTTGTGCKGCGGGCAGTTGTCTTTGAACTATGACAAAKGAATAAKTTTGTCTTATTAGCCCATTCCTTTGAAGRCCGACAYCAATGAGGGSAAGAGCTCTTATGAGAAAGTGCATGGAGTTGGACAATGAAGGAATAGCAGGAATAGAATACAACAAAATACAAAAAGAGCATTTAAGTGAGAAGAATCTTTTGAAATATTGTAGAGAAGACAATTTTGTGGTGATAAAGTTTATYTATATGCGTACTTACCGCTGAYTGCRTCTCTCCAGATGAAAACATCATCAATGTATACGTCATCAGACCGAGCAACTTTGATTGCATTCACATAATACCCATAATACTTATTGGCACGGGAGGTGATGTAAGGGTCACCATTCACGTTGTCATGGATACTGGTGCACTGATAGTACCAGATAGTTGTCGTGGTAACGGGGTTGAAGGCATAGTTTCGCCATATTTGTACTTCATYACCTGATTGGTCGGTGAAGGAGACRAGGTATGAAAGGAATGGTTTGATACGTCCTTTGTATGCAAAACACAACTGAAAATATAAAAACACCGCCTCTTAGACTCGATTGTTRGGATTCCTGTGTCAAGGCGGACGAGGTATACTATAACTCAAGCTTATTTATAGTTATAATAAACCTAAGCAAACATTTCTGACGACTTTTCGATACCTGTCTATATTTGGARACGTCAATTCCCGTCATYAGTCGRCCTCCAAGGTCACGTGATTTGCCYGCATAAATAAGGTACAGCGGATTCTTTAACGACACTCTGCCACARTAGGGTACTTCGTCCACAACGCGTTCACCAAATTCAGGASCCTGTGCACTAGCCTCAAATCCATTGTAATACCAAGCWCGRGCAACAGGRATCTGGTACCTACATTGCCAACTGAGCATGCTCTGTATTGYGGTCTTKACCTCATCCGAGGRAGCGTCAACGTGTACGTAGTCGGAAATCCTGTGCGCCAATGAAAATCGGAACTTAAAGTTACCATTTTTACCATTTTGAACTTGYGTTACARTCACATGAACTCCATTGGATGAAAATTGAAGCAAGTTTGTATCCTCGGGTGACGCAAACAAAAATGTCACGCTGTAATTTGTTGTTCCGTTGAAGYATTCTCGCGTGACAGTYACGTTCCCCTGTTGTGTGACTGATTGTAGATCATTTAGAGCTGTTTGTATTTCACTAGCTGTTGCGTTCGCAGTWAGAGGGACTGTCGATTGACGGTTGTACGTCAGTTTGAAGAATCCATGAATTGCACTTGAGTTTGGCGTGACGGATACAAGCTGTACTTGATAAATCAAACCACTCTCCCAATTGGTAACATTAATGATCTGTGAATTCGAAAAAAGGTGAAATTATTGTCTAAATACTACCTCAAAAAAGAACCAGAGTTGTTCAAAGGTAATCTGGTGTTAATATAACACAGGCGACTTATAGTGTTGAGCGACACACAGGGCATGAGTGAGGAGAAATGCGCGGAAAGAAGCCCTGTCCTCAGATAGCTTTCCTATCCTYTTGTGTAATTTTTAAGTGTTAAATCCGTCTGTTCATCCATTTATTTATTTATCTGTTCATTTATTTATCCGTTCACCCATCCATCCATTTATAATACCTGTACATCTGGACTCTGAGTCGATGTAATTTTAACAATCTGYTTCTCGTTGACAGCTGATTTGACTTGTGAGTTCACGTACTTGGTCTTGTCATACTTAACACCAATCCTCAACCTACTAGAGCCCAGTCCTTGTGARCTGAACGCTTCCAGAAAATACTCGTGGCCGGCTTTAAGTGACAAGACAGCTGACCTCTGTTGGGGATATTTGATCCATGTGGTGGCAGAAGCGGGACAGGAAGCGATTTTCCTCTGTTAAAACGCAACGCAACATAAYGTTATAAAGTATAAAGGTACGTKGGTATAGTTAATGTCCAGTAATTTGATTGGTTTTTAGGTTGTTTCACTTAGTCTTGCGTATTTTATACGTAAGTGATTGGAATTGAAATATAGTTGAACGTTACTGTGCGTAATTGATTGACGCTGTTTTAATAATTGCGTCTTCGTCACGTATTTCTTACGCGGGCAAGCAAATCGGAGGAGAATTTCTTTCGGTAACGTAATTGAAGGTGCGAATATTAGGTATGTATCATTTTGTATACCTTAAACGCCGATGACGAATTCGTGCTTAAATATAACTCAGCTTTACCGCCAGCTTGGATAAAAAACGTGTAGTTATTATCCAACGGCGCCACGAAAAAGCCTCGCAAACGCAGACTTAACCATTTCCTTCCAAAAGATGACTTTGATATTGAATTTGCATCCGGAAGTACATCGGAATAATAATCACGTGACGTTGAATCAAGATTGCCAATCGATGATAAGTCGGAACTTTTCGTAGATTTCCAGACCTCCCGAAGTAGTCCTCGATTTCCTAAAAAGTGATTAGAGCAATCTTATCAATCTATTTRTCCGGGTTTGCTAAGGCGCGCGTMCGTTCAAACGGGATGTCCACTCACTTGTTTACGTATTTTTAACGGTTTTKCCTTTCGGAAAYTAAGCCGGTATACCTGAGWAGTGCGTAGACAGATTCCTGAATTCTTGCGGCTTGATTTGACACGTGATGAGCTGGGAGTTGATGGTCACAATTGTACATGCAATACCTACAGTACACACAAAAATTCTACAAATCCTRCGTTACATCCKGCGTTGCGCGCTGGCTACGTAATAAACTGTTACGTATACATACCACCAATGGTTACAGTCGTAGAATTCTCCTTGAAACCCATKCCTGTGATGTTGACGGTCGTACCGCCTGCCATRCTGCCTGTTCTAGGAGTTATGGCTGATATATCTAVATACAGATTATGCATTTAGAGATTTTCAAGACATTTCGAGATTCCGAGACAGGGAGMCCAGTCGTCTGCGTTTTGTTTACCTGCATGTGTTTGGAAGGCATAAAGCCTGCCTCGWGCRTCTACCTGCATGACGTCATTAGSCAGCAGGGAGCGACCATAACCAGAGATGATGAATGAAACGCGTTGAGATGCTAAAAGACAAGAATACTTAGAATGCAAGTTAACTGCCTATCGACCAGCATGTGTATACACCCCTACCTTGTCAAGTGAAGGACTCGGCTATGCAACATTTAATAGCTTTTTTAATATGAGTGGAAAAAATCGTGATTTTTAGGTGCAATTACTTACCGACATTATTTGAAACTCTACATTTAATATATCCTGTATTTGAGCCTGGTCGGTCCAACTTAATTCCATATCTAAATATAAGTCACGATGTTCCTAATTAGTCACGTCACGCTGGGTCACGCAGGTTAAAAKAAGGAAAGTGTGACTTACAASGTTTTGGTTCCTTCGTCTATTGGCTCGCATATACTCGAACCTGCAAATATCCTGAAGCATAACACGAAAAAAGTAGCTTAATTCGATGTATTGTTTGGACGCAAGAGAACAAAATACTATCGCTTTCAGGTGTGRTCKGTGAAGAGGGGACGGGGTAATGTATACGGGAGGGATCGTGGGGGAGGGGAGGGTCATTTCACAATAWGAATTTATTGGTAAGTTTGTTCTACCTAAGAATAGTTGGTTCATCTGTATTACTTTGTTCTTGTTCAATGTAATTATCAGTGAATATCTTTCCTCGTAAAGTTATGAGGGAACCTACGGAAGAAAGTGTTGTTTTCAGGCAGTTTTTAAATGCAATTCAGCATCGGACAAATTCTTTGTAGAGATTGGATCGGCTAGAGATTCGACAACTATTATAAGAACTTGTATCAAGCTTGGTTTTCATAAATATGTGAAATACACTCTAGCTCACTACACTTGGTTGCTCTGAATTTTGCAGGCTTTTCTTTGCCTTTTCGATGTCTCGTTACACTTTGACTGTTGTACTTTGCTCCGCGCACTTTAGTACACAAAGATTACAGCTTGTTGAGCGATAGATATCAGCAAGCGTTAGCTTTTTTGTAACAGTTAAACATGCACTCAACCCCAAATCTGCAATTCACGTTTTTTTCCCCAGTGGAATGCAATATGGCCCAGAAGGTGGACTTAAATCCCCTGCGCATGTGCAGTAAATGCAATGAGACGCGTACATGCCAATCCTCACGATTAACAAGTTTACATATTGCAGACGGTAACCTTAAGGTTAGATACTTGCAAATCTAAACATTTGCTATCAAAACTAGTAAAGTGGATTAGATTCATTGATTAGCAGCGTTGAGAACTAAGCAAATAGTCCGTGTGAATGTGATAACCTGGGTTTTGTTTTATAAATACATCAGTGTTTGCAGTAGTGTATCTAGTGCGTACCTGGTAGTCCATATCGTGGTGAAATCTCATCAATAGTTGGCGTAATTTTGTCATCATACTGAAATCATGACGTATGAGTCAATTGATGAACTATGTATTTAATGTTAACTAGTTTCCAATACAAAGAACAAAATTTAATTGTTTGGAGAGAATTTTCAACAAGTCCCATTATGATAAAGATGACAAAGATTGAAATATGAAAGGAATATTCGGAGTTAGTACTGTTCTTCGCTGTGGCTAGATAAGGAAGGCCATCTATTTTCTGTGCATTGTTTTCTTAACCAGCACAAGGTTCGTTTCAATTGATTCATTACGACCCTGGGATAGTAAATAACATATATACCTTGAATTGACATTCTCCACCGCAGTATGTGAGCCCCTTCGCGTTGCTTAGCAACCTGCCATCCACTATTACCCTAATGTGGTACAATCCAGGTCCAAAGGGGGAGGGCCTAGTACAAAACAATCCATTAATAACTAGTGCCGAAAATAATTGATAGAATCTTTTAATTACCTTGTGCTGCACACAATTTGATCACGTGATGTGTAGTATGCAATGACGTCACATGGCAACGCGTGCGTCCCAGATGCAGATACAAAGGTCACGTTGTTGCCAAGTTCAGGATGGTTAAAATCAAATTGGTTTTCTGCAAAACCTTTGAAATAAACGATTCAACGCTTAAAAACGTGATCCTTAATAAGAGCATAAATTGATCTCCACGATAACCTGAGAGGTTTATATTGTTGCTATGGTGACCAGTATGACGTAATACCGGTAGAACGATGATACTGAGCTGTTGATGTCGGTAGTGCTTCGCACTAGCTGAATCTCGATACATCGCACTTGTAAAATCGATTAATACTCCTTGTGATTTGACCACACACCATTAAACATTAATTAATGTGTCATTATGCTCGTCTAATTGTTGGCAATCAGTGCAAGAACGATAGTAGCTACTCAGACGTGTTAAATCTAGAATAAATTGAGCGCTCTACGAGGTTTTACAGCCTTGATACAATCTCTATGCTGTTTAGGTTTTCTTTTTAACGTGTAATTCTTATCTTGGATTAAAATAGCTTGAGTTGCCGACATCACGTTTTGTTGATGATCAGAGCTAAAAGAGAGTGCGCAAAGCTGTTTTTCAGCCAAAAGCGCATGTATAAAAGCGCGCTTTCTTCTTTGATCTCTTACGCTTCTTGCAAGGCATGCGAGGCGAGATTAAAAAGCGCGCTTTATGAGGTTGTTCATTAATGACTAGTATTTTAGAAGTGTTTAATAATTTTTACAAACTTTGTCAGTCTAGCAAGACCAGAAACGTCAGAAAAATTGCGCAACAATGCWGCGGTCATAGGTGTTCCATTATTGACCGAGAAGTGTACCAAATAGTTATCATAAGGGAGTAAATGTGCATGTATAATAYAAAATCTGATATAAGTGATTTACCTTGGCCATAAAGCGTTATCTTTGTAGCTCCTTTTAAACTACCCGACGAAGGACTTACACTCGTAACCCGTCCACCTGAAAAGATAATAACTCAGTTTTGTCCATCGGAAATCTCTATCTTGTCTTGTAGGCATTRAAATGAACTGCATGCACGTACAAGTGCATTTTTTTGAGAAGATTATGCATATAACTGGGTTTGTTCTTTATAACCAAGTAAGTTGTACTTGACTACAAGCATTGAAATAAGCGGTGCTTTACCTTCAGTCGCGCTGATGAGGCTGAGAAAAGCTAAAACATTTTGTAGAAGGCAAGGGAAGAGCTTCATAACAGAAGCTTGTACAGTTTTTCTCGTAGTGCTTTCTTCTCCAAGCTCAGTTGTGCGCTGTACTTTGAGGATTAAGCGTCTTCCCTCGGGCTTTTTATCATGCGGCCATGATTTACTTCGGAAGTGTTGCGGTTTTTGTAGTTTTCACCGTTTTTTTTAATGGATGCTTGCAACGCCGTCCAGTGTTGAATGAATAAAACCGTGYAGCGCGCCYTGTCAGTTAAAAGAAAGACGAGATTGAAGAGCAGAATATTTATTTTAAGATGTAAAATGATACTCATATTACTAGAAACAATAGATGTCCCCACTAGTGGTTTCTTGAATGATCTTTGGTCAAAAAGGCATACTAATTTGTCARTGTCCCGAACCACTATTCTTAATGAGGTGGAGTCCATCGGTGTGCACTTTATTGAAAGGGGATCATTTACTGAAACTTTTAATATTATTTTCTTGGCATAATTTATGTCAGTCTGGTTTAAATACGCTTTGACTAAAAGAACTAGATAAAGATATAATTTAATCGATCGTTCCCAAGTGGATTGATGATTGAATTTAGTGAACAGTGAGAAGGTCAAACTAACGTATCGACTTTCGACGCAAGCTGACACCACAGGAAGCCCAAACTGGCTAGGCCACTAAGKGTTGGCGGCCATGTTGTTATTTCTCGTCAGTCTCAATCAGTTTTTTTTCCTTTTGAACAGTTTAATTTAATTATYATCATGTGGTTTCAAACATTAAAGACTCGACAGACAATTAAAAAGATTATTTCTTCAAATGGCAATGGACAAGTCGCTGCTCTGGAGTACTCTGATAAAAAGATAGAYGTTCACATGTTGAAGGTACGAGAACTCTCTGTACAGCTGCAAGTCTAGTAGAACTTCCAGTTTCTCTCATATCATCAGTGTATTGTCGCAGCTCACACGTGACATATTGACATATATTCAGCAAGTGTAGAACTTTCAAAGATCTGGAAAGTTTCTGGACGAATACACTATCAGCTGTTTTTCTTATTYAGAGAGAAAGCACCCCTCTTTCACTTGATGAKGGTACCGTAGTGGCATTTCTAACCCTAGACGATGGATCCATGTATGCAGTCAGTGCTAGTATATGTGGCAAAGGCAGGACAGTGTTAGAATTCAAGATATGGGATGCYATGAATGCCTTGGGATTTACTTCAAGAGAAATCCTTGTACAAGACATGGAGCGACTCAACATGAATGAAGGGAAATTCAAGTTAGTATGCCATTGTTTATTAACCTTAATACAATGATTTGCTCCAGGATGTATGGAGAAGGGGAACCTCAGAGATKGGTGATTGTTGAAGTTGATTATCATACTTTAATATATTCTGAATCCAAGGCTGTTATTTATTTTCTTTGTGATGATTTCCAGGGCAATTGTAAATATTTCAGAACCGTCCAACTCGACACACCATATGCTRAAGATTGATTCACTTATGAACTATTTAATAGTCTCTGTTGGCCCTGGTTTAGTATTAATGTGGAAATGCAGTAAGGTGAGCTAAAGATTAATCAATCCCATACATTCAAAACCCATTGTACAGCTGTTTAATTGTATTATTCTTTGACTCTGACACATACTATCTTCCAGGCAGAAAACATGGTATTAAATCTKGAATTAGTGACTACGATAAGATCTTCCATCACTATTCATGATATTGTACTTTTGTACACTGGGAAT